GGGGGGGGTTTATGGGCCGGACTGTTTCTCAGCTGAGACCGGTTGCCAGGTTGATGGTAATGATGAAGTTGCAGTAATTTAGCAGGAAACCTCACTGACTTAAACTAAAAAAAGTCAAAACAAAGATAACGTATAAACTATTTATTTTTAGCGCGCCTTCCGACTTTGACGCCCCAAAAAAGTTTTTGTACAAACGAGATACAATGTGTTAATTAGTGAGCTTTAAAGATGCTGGTGGGCGTATTTTGTCACCTTCGGACGAAGCTAGGCGAGCTAGTTACCCGTTTACCAGTCTTTATGCTAAGCTAACTAGCGTCGTATTCACCATACAGACATGAGTGATATCAATCTTCTCTAACTCTTGAGAAGAAAGCAAAACAAACTCTTGAACTGGAGACGGCAAACTCCTCAAGTCTTTCTTGGATTAGTTTACCGACTGAATCCCGTGAGATGTGAGGATGAAGTGGTGACGAAGATATCGAGCAGTCACTATTCAGTGAGTTAAATCCCAATAATAGATAATAGTACAGTGCTCTAAAACTCACTTTATACTTGAGAGGATCAAACACACTTGAATCACTTGGTTTCTATATGAATGTATTGTTTGTTTTCTAACCAGCCGCTCGGCCCACAGAAGCCTCGTGAAAGTCAGAACACAGTCTTCGTAAAGTGTTTTTTTTATTCCCCAGACTTTTCCGCTTCTTAATCACCTCAAGGCCTCACAGGTCGGCGGGACTCAAACGGTCCATTGACTCCTTAAAAAGTTTATAGTAGAAAAGTCTTCGCCTGAGTTCATAACAGGGTGGAAAGAATTCTCTGGCAAAGTCCAGTCGAGACTCTTAACTCCCCGTCCTCCGCCTTCACAGACAGAGATGTGTTAACTGTGGATTCTTCACATTCGGCTGTCGTCCGTGCTGCAGACTTCACTCCACTTCAACTATTTATTTTGGGTCCTGAGCTCTTAACGGGGTATTATTATTATTATCACTGCATATAGTAGAAACATCCACTCTAACACGCTAATTACACTTTAATGATCACAGAAGAATTGTTGCCAACGCATCTTAGATTCCTCAGTTCAGTCTGTTGTTTGACTGATTTGGGTTCAACCTTCTGGTTAAAGAACGTTTAGTCTGTAATTATTACGTGAATACAGGAACACGAGCGTTACTTCATCTTCAATCTCACTCCTGAGAACTATCACACCGTCCGTACATTTTATTTACATTTGATGCCTTTAAATACGTGTTTACAGAATAAAGGGAAACTTTTGTTATTATTATTATTATTATTATTATTCATCTTTAGGCTCATGAAACCTTGTTCACTAGTTCAGAAAGCCAAATGTTACATCTTTTAAATGTCTTATTTTAACAATAATAATAAGCATTATTTATATATCACCTTTCATAACATACAATGCAGCTCAAAGTGCTTCACAAGAGAAACAAATTCATAGTTCAGATATTCTCAAACAGGGCACGAGATACAAAAATAAAATAAATAAAAAATAGGATAATATTAGTAATAACACAAGTTGATAGTGGTAAAAACAATTCCAATATATAAAAACCCTAAAAACAAGTATGACAAATGTAGAATAAATTACTTAATTAAAAGCAAACATTTGAAAAATCATTTTTTCCTAAAGTCCCAACAGAAGTTTCTGGTCTTGTTAGTGATGAGTTTGTTCCAAACCGTTGGATGTGATCAGTTATTGGCCTTTAAATTGTCCCGAACAGAAATCCATTATCAGAATAGTTGCAGACACATTCCTGTTGATCGACTAAACAACAAATCAATAAATCCCAGAGTGGCGTCATGTCGTCAGACTTAGACTTCTCATTGATGTGAACATTTTGTTGGTCTGTTCTGGTGGTTTTAAGGTCAACGACATCACTTCCTGTTTGGAGGCAAATATTCATGAAAGACATAGAACGTCACACTTTGAATGTATTTTTTTATCAGAGCTCATTGTGTATAAAAACTTGTTCAGGATGCAACGTGTATATCTTGTGTCTTTGTGGAAAAATTGCTAATTTCACATTGAATGTAAAAAGTGTGAAAGTAGCAGATGAAAGGCCGTTGAATTCCTCTGGTTCTCCTTCGTCTCCGCAGTGATTTCCTCGTGCCCGACTACCTGAGCCAGGTCCAGGAGGAGGAGGAGGCGCTCGGGGTCCAGTATGAGTTAGAGGACTCGGAGCACCACCCAGTCTACCCGGGCAGCACCTCCGCCGCCGTCAACGCCGCCGCCGCCGCCTCGTCCTCCTCCTCCTGCTCCGTCCAGATGCCCGTCATCTCCCAGGTCTCCTCCTCCACCCAGAACTGCGAAAGTTCCCCCGGCTTCCTCTCGCCCGAGCCCCTGCTGGACCCCCTGGAAGCCCCCGCCTCCCTCAAGATGGACGCAGACCAGACGGCCGCCGCGACGGGGGAGACCAAGATGGACGACGATGACGGCGGCGTGGGAGGCAGTTCCCTGGAGGTGTTTGAAGGAGAGCAGCAGCAGCAGCAGCAGCAGCAGCAGCAGCAGCAGCAGCTTGGTGCCCAGACCAAGGAGCTGGCTTCCATCACCATCGAGTGATCCAAGCCTTCTACTTGGCCCCGCCTCTTATTCTGCAGTCATGTCATACGGGGAATATCTGCTTGGCGGCTATAAAAAGGGACAACTTGGGACACGTTAGGAAACAAAACTCCTCTCGAAGACGCCGTGATGATGATGCACTTATTTACGTTTCACGTTCTTAAAACCAAATCCAGCAAAAAGTAAAATGATCATTTTATCTTCTGAAAATGATTTTCCCCTCAAACTTGTGAGCAGAATTCTTGAAGAATCAAGTATTAGGAAGTTATTTGTATTTCTTTTATTTCCCATGTGACGTGAATGCAGCACTAGCTAAAGTCGTTTTACTGTCTTTTGCCGATCTGAGGTCTGTTGAATCTAAAGAGCCTCGCCCTACTTCTGGAAAGTGCCTGAAGAGTTCCCGTTTTAACGAAGACATCTTGACTTTGCCGACGGCGACAAATCAAGTCTTTGCAAACTGAGCTGAAGAAAGAAAGAAGAAGAAAGAAGTCCGTAGTATTTCATTTGTAGTGATGCAGCTTGTTTGTTTGGGCAGAGACTGTGTCCTTCAGTGCCGTCGCTGTAGGCAAACTGTTCAATGTCAATATTATCTCTATTGCAATAGCTCGTACTGTAGTTTTACTCTTTGAATGCTGTGTATGTTGGGTGTTGTGACAGTATGACATGTCAGGTGTGTGTATGTGCATTTATTTTTCTTTTAATCTATATGAACACAGTACATTTCATTTTTAAGTGTTTTAAAAAAACTTGAAATTATATTGACAGAGTATTCCCTTAAAGGCGTTTGTGCAGTATATCATTTTTAACCGCCTTTTTTCATTTTTTTAATGAACACTGTTGTGAAATGAAACCTTACGTCTCCAAAACGGCTAATTTAGTTTATTTTAAGCTTTTGTTTCAAAGTCCAACGAAGTAAATGATAATAAAAGAAAATGTAAAATGTAAAAAGTTTACCAAAAATTGAAAAAATTTGGAGTAACGAGGTTTTCTCACGACTGCGGTTAAATTCCCAAATGTGCTCCTAAGATACGATAATGTAGCATCGCTTATCAAACGGTTTCTGTTTTGGAGTCAGTTTGTGTTCTGAATATTTAAATCGTGTTCTTGCTTCACTGCTGATATTCTGAGAGAACGATTGTCTTTTTTTAAACGTAAACCAAGAATATTAAGTTACACGTGTGGAGCGAGCAGCAGTATTCTGTTTGATTTACATCATTTGTCACAAAGGGAGAAAAAAAAAAACTACATTGTGTAAAATTCCACGAGTCAAATTGAATTAAAATAAGAAGTAACAATGTCTGCAGACCGGGGGAAGCAGGAAGTGATGCAAACAGATTATGAATGCTATCTGTGATGGCCAGTTTACAGGCGGGGTTTTTTTTTGGGGGGGGGGGGGGGGGGGGGGCGTGTGATAACGTTGCTTTAAAAGCAACCGGAGCACGCTGACGAGTGAATGCAAAATACTGTGAGTTGAATCATTATAAATGATGAATATATATATATATATATATATATTTGTGTAAAGAAGAGAGCTTATCATTTCACCGTGAACTGATCGAGCTCAGTTTGGGCTTTTAGAAGTTACTCATTTCATTTACTTTGTTCGTTCTTTATTTCAATGCAAACCTCCGGCTCCTGTGATGCTGTGACGGTGTAGTTGGGACATTGTTGTGCTTGTATTTCCGAGGAGTTAATGACACCCGTGGTAATAACCCATGAGTTGAATGCTACTGGGCGTGTTGTTTATCGTTTATTTCCTGTCGCCCCCCCCACACACTTTAAAAGTAGTCCAAACAGCCGCCATTAAGGATCATCACAGCAGGATGTAAGACCTCACATACAGGGTTGATTGTAAATGTAAAGATGAATATCACGCTGTGATGACGGCGTCAATATTACCCCGATCAATGAACGTCACTGAGAGCTGTCTTAACAACAGCTTGAGTCACTCCGAGTCTAAAGTTTTGCCCTTTTTTTAATTTATTTTGTATCCGGGTACAAATGGTACAGGACCAAATGTTCTCTATCTCATTAGGGATTTGCCATGGCAATCAGTAATCGCACATAATAAAAAGAGAGATAATCATTCTTTAAGTGGTCCGTGCTATTTAGCAAAAAAAGGGGGTCCTGCTGTTTTCGCCCCTAAAAAGCAAAAACACACAGTATACGATGTTGTGCATTTAAGAGGCTAGCCTTAGTGAACGGACCTATACACTCTAGTTTGCACAATATCAAGATGAAAAAATGAAAAGAAGTTTTCTATTCTCCATTTATACGTCATTGCTTCTCATCATGTCGTGTGTTCGGTGTCTGTATCCAAACAACTCTTTTACAATGAAATATGCTGCTGTTCTGTTGAAAACCGCAAAAGTGCCCAAAATATTTTTGTGACCCGATGGTTGTGCAATAAATGGACCGGTGTCGTTTTTAAAAGATTTCATTTAGTCTTTGGAATGGTGAATTATATATATATATATATCTCTATATATCTATATATATATATATATATATATATATATATATATTAAAACAAATAATGTATAATTTAGTTTAAATGTGATTGAAGGTGAATCAAATCGGCGAGGACCCCGTTTGATCTGTGAAACAAGGAACGAAGCTTGGATATCAAACGGCGGTTTGTCTCTAGAGTTGCATGTTCTTATCGTTGTGTGAAGTGAGAGAGAGCATGTCTGCAGTTGGCGACGCGTTCTGTCACGGCCTTATTAGTCGACGGTTCTTCATCCAGCGTATGTTCAGCATGCCCTCTTCTTTCTCTGTACACTTATCCCTTCTTTTTCTATTAATGTGCAATGTTTTTGTTTCTTTTCTAATCTCTGATTATATACAGGACATGCCTTCTCAATGTACACTTGATGTTGTATATGTTTTCCAGTCCTTCTGCTTTATTTAAAAGAAAGGAAAATACAAGATAAAACACATGGTAGCTCTTCATAACGGCATACATACATATATATATATATATATATATATATATATTTTTGGTGACTTTTTTGTATTATGGTTGCTGTTTCATGGCATCTTTGGATATTCTTGTTAAATGTGAATAGAACAGCTTAGTGTGGGAGTATGGGGGGCCTTAGTAGTCTTCACTTTGTGACTGTCTGCAGTGTGTATATATATATATATATATATATATATATATATAAATATACAGTATATATACACTCATACTATGTTGCATATTCTTTATACTGTAGGCTACTTGATTACAACCTGCTTTGAGACAGATGTTGTATTTTGTGTCTTTGATACTGTATTTAAACGTTAGTTTGGAGAAACTGTACAAAACATCCCCGATAGTAATGCAACCTGCACATTGTATCGGGAGAAGTGACGTCTGTGGTGTTGAGTGTTTTAACTGGATCATATTCCACAGTTGGCTGTTTAAAAACTGACAAGACCACTCTGTATTTTAGAGGTCATGGTTGTTTCTGAATCCTTGCTAGTGTTCTGGCTTTGCAGTCCTGTTATTAAAAAAAAGAGAGTTGTTTTTGTAAAAGTATAAAATGTAAATAAAAAAGAAAAACCTATGTCGGAATACATCTAAACACTTGTCTGAATTCGTTTTTTTGAGTTTACTGAACAATCTTTTTTGGTAACACATAACTTAACATTGTTAATTTTTGTATATGTATATATATATATGTTATACATGTTAATACATTGTAAGTGTTATAAAACACATTTAGTTACATAAATACTAACTCGGTAGTCGACTGCTGATGTAGAAACAGAAACGTACGTTGTGTTTCAGACGTCTATCAGACAACACCGTTACCGTTAGCTCGGCAGAAGGCTAGCGGGCCTTTAAGCTAGATTATTATGTTAAGTGTACTGTTAAAAAAATGAGGAATGAACTTCGTCATTCAAATTGTTAACATTGTCGTCTTCACTGGCCCTGTGAGGAGTTATGTTGCCAGGTCAGTATTTAACTTTCATGTTGGATAAAACACATCGGGTAAAGATAACGTTACATTCGGAACATAGCTAAGTTAGCTAGCTAGCAAGCCAAGCTAACGGCCATGTTGGTGATGTACATTGTACATCGCTCCGTTTCACATTTTTCCCAAAATATACCGGAAGAGGAGGGACTTCCTCTCTATTCGATGCGCGCAAGGCAGACAGATTCGGTAGAGCTGCCTTTTTTCACAATTAATATATTTCAATATTTGTTATTTTACTCTTTGAATATATATTTGGATTTAGAATATCCGTTGACAGACCTACAGTCCACCAATGGAGACTTACCAGAGTTTCAGAGATGCACAGATGCTCAGTGTGGCTCCGATCTATTGTTATAACTTGGCGTTCCCGGTAAAATTGAAACTTCAGAACTTTGCACTATAAGGAATATCAATCTTATCAGTCCACAGCATGGGATGCCATTCTGTAGGTCAGCACTGCTGTCTTTCTAGGAAAACAAAGGCATCGACGGCAAAAATATGTTTACCACTAATCCTGTACTTTCAACAGAGAACAACCTCGAGCCATCCATCTGTTTCTTCTTCATCTGCATTTCTGTTGTTGAAATTTGTGTTCTTCGTCTGATTTGATGACACTCGGCTGCCAGAGCTAACTCCTGTGTTTCTCTTTCATATATAACAAAACAAAAAAAACTCCACAGTCATTGTCTCCTTAAACAGAGAAGGCATCAGTCCCTGTGTGGCTGAGGATTTCATATGGAATGTGTTTAGAATAGACAAGGCTGTCAAGAACAGGCTGCATAGATGGGATCAATATTCATAAATCAAAAGAGATGTTACACAATCACGTAAAAAAAAAGGTCATTTTCTCACTACTTCCCAAACATGCATGTTATAGCTCAGACATGCAGCGTAGCTATATCTGAACTATTTAAAACACCGGCGCATAAAGAAAGTCAGGACGAGTCTGAATTATTTCATATGGTGAGATTTTAGTGAAGACGAATGTGTTCAGGAAATAGTGAGCATACGATCGAATAAACGAGACTTTGACTACACGACAAGAGCTGTGTGAGAAAGTTAACTTTAGGCAACAAAACCACTTTAAGGAGGTTTAGGAAAAACATGGCTGGCCTTCAAATAAATTTGTATAGTTAGAAGAACTCTTTGGGACATGTGGTGTCCCAAAGAGTTTTCTGTGTTCCGCCCACAATAAGTGCTCTTTCTCAATATTGAACTCATCACCTCTGATTGTTGCCTTTCATTTGTGTCCACCATGAAAAAGGATCGTATTTGACTTCTCATTAGCATTGTTTCTGTGCTAAGCGACATAATACTAGGCGTGACTTTGATGCAGGAGAGCAACTATTCTATGACTGGACACTGAACCACCTGAGTTGTTCATATTATTATTATTTTTCGGGTATCAGAATATATCCGAACATCTCAGCAACTGACTTGGTGGATGTAGTCACGGTGACGTCACCCATTGGTTTGTGGACTCGCCATGTTTTTTTGGCAACCAATGAACGGAAATTTCAACATTTGGAATTTGACGTAGAGTCGGTGTATACTGTTCTGGTAGCTGCAGTGACCTGTAAACCGCCCTAAAGCGTACCCTGCTTTATGGTCTGTGTGACTCTAAATGGACCATAATGTACT